AAAAAAAAAAAATCTGTTCAGCAAGTCTTGCATTAACCATATTGATAAGATTCTTTTACTCCTCCTCACCCTTCAGTGTTTTCAGTGACTTAACTTGCAGTTAGTTTGCACGAGCTAGACAACTTCTTGTAGGAGATCTGTGGTTTTTGTCACTAACAGCCTGCTTTTACTTCCTTGAAAACACTCTTAAAATGTGTGTCTGAAAGTCCAAAGGCAGGAAAATAATGAGGGAGAGAAAGAAAAAGAAAGATAAAAGAGGAAGAGGCAGCAAAACCAATATTCTTTAGACTTACAGGCAGTCATCTGCACTCTCTGCACAGAGGTTGACTGTCTTCCCATCTCGGCAAACAATCTGCAGTAAACAGTCTCTCTGCTTCCCCTCTGGAGGCTGGAAATCTGAGTCAGAAAAAAGAGATGAGTTATGAAACATCTATAACCAGAACTTCATGATCACATTTACAAGAACAAATGCTAGAAGTTAATTTAGTAACACTTGAAAAAAATCTGCTGAGGTTTCCCATTTCTAGTCCTGCCTCTCACTCCAGCCAGCACTATAGTTACACCAGTAACACTCTATAATCAGATACCCAAGTCTACTGTGAACATCCCATTCTCACGTGCATGCCTGCCACCTGCATATATGGTACACTGTCCTCACCGAGTTTTAAAAGGAAGTATCAAACCCTAACCTAATCTATCACATGGTGATAACCACGCGCTGGGTATCTATAAGGGAATTTAGTAGTTAGTTGGGTTGGGTTTTTTGGGGGAGTGTAAGGCGTGTTTATTCCACAGAGTGAAGTTGCAGACTTCTTGGACATGTTTACTTCTGCAGTGGTGTTGTAAATGATATGCAGGGCAGGCACTGAAGTTGTAAAGGGTATCTGAATACACAAGTCCTGAAGGTTTCATTATTACCTCGACATTCATTCCCCACTCTGAGGTTGATGCAATGGATTTGCATGTGGATTTTATCTTCTATATCATGGCGATTTTGATCATCATAAAATATTAAGCGGCCATCAGACCACAGGTCAAACCAGTTCCTCTTCCAGCGCCGTAAAATAGTACCTTAAAAATCAGACAGTCACTTTTGAGGGCTCATACTGGGAAGCATTTGTGTCCTAGAGTTAATAAAAAATAAACCAAGAAATCCTTCACAGTTGCCTCAGACATTCTGAGGTGCCAAGCAAAATCCTGTTCTACAACACACCCACTTCAGAACATTACAGAATTTGATTCTATATTTTATCTAGTATTCAAAGTCACAACTGAGCTTATTTTAAGTGCATAACCTGACAGTTTAGTTCTAACTTGCTGCAAGAGCAAGCAAGACATGACTAATTGAAGACATTTAGTTAAGGTGTCAGGTGAAGTTTCCAAGACTCCAATTCTACAGCACTAATTACAAAGCAACATCTGAAGCTGAATGCCAGTCAGACACCTCAGATATGGTATATCCTGTTTACCACTGGTACACCCAAAAGGCCACGTGGAAATGCTGTTATGAAAGGTCATTTTGTGAAGTGTCCTAAAGGTAAAAAAAAAAAAACCACAACCCCACAACAAAAAACAACCCACAGAGACTAGTTTTAGGAAAGACCTGGGAATTACTAAGTTGCTCTGTTTTTTTTTGAAGAAGTTAGACACAGTGGGGAGAAAAGCAGGTAAAAGGCCCTTGACTTACTTTGCCGGAGCAGCCATCCGCTCTTCACAAATGCCATTGTTGCTTAATCTAGTGGATGGAAGAGGAAAGTGAGGGGGAGAAAAGCAGTCTTCAGTATTTCACAATATTACATTAGAAAGAGGCATCTCAAGGTATAATATCATATATTACAGCTGCGTGTACCCAGCTAGTATTGCAGAGACATGGTCGATCTCAGCTGAAGACACTCAGTAAGGCACATCTAGTGTTCTAGGACTTAACAAACGGAACAAATGTGCAATTATAGCAACCCAATGTGACTATCAGAGACCACTTTTAAGTTTAACTAGAAAATGCGCAGCTTACAACTACCACCTTTGCAACAAGGGGAAAAGACAGACTCAAGTGACAGCTTGCTAACCCACCACCAGTTCCTTTAGAAGTTCTTCTCTTGACATATTCGTGCTTCCTGTATTCTGCAGTCTCAAGTTACTAAGCTTCCTCACTTCCCTATCTCCCTTTTTCTGGACTTCCTCTTCTGTTTTTTTCATTCACTGATTCAAAGTCCAGACAAAAGCTGAAAACAGTTTAATCTTAAACAGGAAGGAGAAAGCTGGTTTTATGACTTGTATTTCTTCCAAATCGTCCCTCCGAGATGAACTGAAATAAGTAAAAGTTAAGCCCATAAAGTGAGATTCTTGTTTCTCCTTAACTTTTAAATGAAGCTTGAAATGGCATGGGAAGGACCCAGCATTAAATTCAAGTTGTCACACACGACATTAAGCACTCGGCCACTGCACTCTGGTTTATAAGAATGCTAAAGAAAAGAGATTGTGCATAGAATATATTGGAGGATGAGTGTTTATTTTATAGCATAATGGTGTTCTGACTATTGTTCAAAAAAGGAGTAACAAAAACACAACTATCCAGATGCAACTGAACTAGAAAAGCAAGAACAGAAGCGTTTTAAACCTCCCTTGAGAAGGATGCCTTTTTTAGAAATTATTTGTGGGGCTTGTAAGCCAATATGAGAGACAGATACTTAAACCTACCAGACAACATTCTACGTGTAGCAGCATAAGAAGAGCGGGGGGGGGAAGGTGCCCCTTTAGATCTGATAGACAGAGGAACTCCTCCCTGACAAGGAATGTGTTTAAAGCTGGGGGAGGAGAGAGGAAGAGAGTTTTGTTACTGCCTAGTAAAATATGAAGTTAGTAAGCATCCACCTATTTTCTGATAGATGTATATATGCCATGTATTGGATATTACTTGTAGCTGTGTCTTGTTCACGGTACTGGGCAAATACTGTAACACACAAGTACACTTCCTGTTGAAGGAATGCCACATCCAGCACAGGCTTGGGTGTGATGGTGTGAACTACCTGCAGGTAAAGTTTAAACTCCCAGACAAACCTCTTACTCTTGGCTTTGGTACCAGCTTGCTGGGAAAACAAACATTTAGCTGACAGGCCACTGAAAGGAAGTGTCAAAACTCCTATCCTGCTTTAATACTTGTCACCCAGTCCTCCTCTGAGGTCTAAGCATGCTGTTGTCACCTGTCTACAGGGAGCACTTCAGAAATAGAGGCAAATTTATTCTTCCAAAGTGACAACGTGGTACAGTGACCTGAACCCCATTCTCCCACCACCCCAACATATGTTCCTCTCCCCCTAGATTCCCCTTTACAAGGAAGCAAGTCTTGGTCTTCATTTTCACAGGAATGGGTCTCTCCAATGGTGTTTCCATATGTCTTCATTTGCCCACTAACATGAAATCACTGTGTATTTCCAGAGGCCTTTTAATAGTCTAAGAGCCAATAAAGAACTTGCATGAAACCTACTCTGTTACACAACAGCATAATTAGATTTAACTTAAGACACATAAAGGGGAAGAAATGGAGAAGAAAACACTTCTCTCTTGACAAATTAAGTTATGCCTATGATTACACAATAGCCCACAATCAAAATCTCACATTACAGAATGTCTCACAGCTACCTAGGGCTACAACAGCAAGAGGCTTCAGCAGCTGTACAGCACCTTGCACATTATCTCAGCTGCAACAACTACATTTTCCCAACACAGAAGTGCCCAAAATATCAGCTCTGGATAGAGACCAAGGAATAACACACAACAATCTGTCAGCACTGAAGCAGGAGGTACAAAAACAATTAGATATTCTTCTCTGGTCCTTTTTAAGCACAAGCACTCACCTGAAGTCCTATACAGTATTTACAATCAACCCACATTGTATTTAGAAGAGTATTTGCAGAGCTATAAGACAGCCTGGCAAGATCAGTTGCAACTGAGTATTATTTGCCTGTTAAACTAGCTCAGTGCAACCAATATGGAAAACTGCATTTAAACAAACATAAATCAATTTATCACCAACCTCAATAGGAGTTCCTTGGTGACTGAAATCTAAAAGTGGTAGCACCCTAAACTGAACCCAGGTTAAGAGTAAATGCAGCAAAGGGTGTGGCTATTCCTTCCTGCCCCCTGGAACAGCAGTTTTCCTTTTTCGCACAGAATATAACTTGGAATATCCAACAGTATATTCCAGTTCACTTCTTGCTCTCAAACCCAGCTGGCTGGTAGGAAAACCAACCTTCAAAACTAATCAAGTGTTTCTACCTGAAGCTTGTAGTTACTAGAGCAATTTTGATTAATGCAGTCAAACTAGCAATGGACCCGATTCTGCAATCCATGTAGATGGAAGGAGCTGAGCCACACGGGCCTAACTACAGAGCTGAGCCCCTGGTGACCAGCTGTACCCACTGACACTTCACCGATGCTTTATTCCCAAGACTTCTGGTAGAGAACTATACAAAGCTAAGTGGCACGTTCTGTCTGCCCTGTTTGCCCCCCTCCCCCTTAAAACAAAGCAAGCTTTCTATTTTTGGAACTTTCTGACTCTGCAACTAGCTACATGCAGGCCTTTCTTCCACGAAGTTATTTTTTTAGTAGCCACTGCCTGGTTCTACCGAGAGTTGCGACTCTCCGTTCAAAACCCGTCCATACGTGAGCGAGCCCGCGTTCACAGTAGGCAGTCTGACTAAGCACCATCCCACCTCCTCCCTCTCGCACCCGGGAGAGCTCCA